AAAATATTTTATAGTGTAAATATAATATATGAGTCATAAATAAATTGTTTTTAATGATTTTATAAGTATCAGCAGTAACTGGCACATGCGCAGTAATACCCACATTTACCCTAGTAGCAGATATTAAATCGAGCGTAACGCGTCTATTGTTTGATGGATTTGACGTATATAGGAATGAGCGAGGTATTTCAGGATGGCGGCCGCGGCGGTGTTAATCGAATATTACGCGTGAAACGAAATTTGTCGGGAGTGAAAGCGTACCTTGTAACCCAGATAGGCGAGCAGCAGCGCTTCGGTGAGCGATACCATTGCCAGTATCACCTGGACGACCCACAGTTCCAAGGGCCTCCTCACCCATAAAATCGCGTCCCAGTTGATGGTCGGGTGGTCCTGGAACTCCTCCTCGGTGAGGTTCTGAGATGCGAGGAACTCGGTCTTGTTCCCGGGCGTGCAGCCGTAACTGGAAAAATGAATTTCGCATTCGCTTTCATTTCTAGATCGGAACTCCTTTTTACTCTGCGGAGCAGCTGGAGAACTTTCTGGCCACAAAGCAAATTTTTTAAAAGCTTAACATTTCCGTCGGGGCTGGGAGGGTGTTTTTAAAAGCCCGCGACACTCCGGAAGCTGATTAATGGACGTTGGAATTGCGTTTCGACGATGGTATTAAAAAGTTTTTGCAACAGGAGTTCGAGTCGGGATTCTTTTATTGCTACATCGAATTTCGCTCTTTGCTGGTGAATATTATATCTTCGAATTAAATAAATATTATTTATGGTAATAAAAAGTTGTGGTCAATATCTGAAGCAATGAACTTTTAGAAAAAAAATCATAATTACAGAGGAGTAAAGTTTATAAAATTATTCGAACTGCTTTTACGTAATTCATACTATCTTAATGCAAAACGAGGAAAAATTATGGAAAATGACAAAACAACGTTGAGGTTATGTTTAAAAATAATCTAGAAACGTATGAAACAATATTGCACGCGGTAGAATAGTAAGTTTGGGAAATATAAAAGATAGGAGAGAGAGCGTGGGAGGGAAATGGTTTGTGGGGAGGTGGGAAATAGAGCTAGGAATTCTTAACTGTTAGAAACTCGTGGCAAGAAACCGCAATATCGTTTCGGTCGCGAGGTTTTATCTCGGTTTTATTTTCAGCCCGCCACGATTATTTTACAAAATATCGTAAACGCGAAGAAGCGGTCGAATCGAGGAACAAAAATTATATTCGCGTGCAACGTCTACCTGAATAAAACGAAAATTCAGACATCGAGCGATTCTTTCAGAGAAAAAAAAAAACTAAAAAAAAATCGTTATTGGAAATTAAATGAAACTTCGACTAATTTCTAAAGCGAACGGTTTTCGATATTTCAACAGTTATTTTTCTAAGTACTATAAGTCCACTTTTAGAAAAAATGAGTTAATGTACTTATATTGTACAATGTATTAAAATCTTTAATACTATCATTGAAGATTTTAGTAAGATAGAGATATTCTCTTTTTATATTTGTAATCATAGAATCACTGCAGCTTTCTTAACACTAGATTGCCCAAGGAAGTCTGACTGTTTTTGGTCAAATGTACAAATAATAATGCATAA